GTGCGGGTTTGACTAGCGAAGGCGCTTCGGTCTTCACCAAGGCAAGGACTTCCAAATATACATTCTTGACCTGTGCAGGCCTAGGTCAGGCCTCAATTCATAGCCACATCAGAGCTGACAAGCTTAGGAGACTTGATCTCCAAGGTGGTGACACTACCAACGTTGCAGAAGCCATCATGTACTTGATGAGCTAACGTATGTAAATGGTCTGGCACTTGCTATTTGAAGCATAAATGACAGCTGGAATCTGTTTGATGGTCAAGATTTTTTTGTTTTTGTTTTTTGGTTTTTCGACAGAGTTTCTCTGTGTAGCTTTGGAGCCTATCCTGGGCACTCGCTCTGGAGACCAGGCTGGCCTCGAACTCACAGAGATCTGCCTGCCTCTGCCTCCCGAGTGCTGGGATTAAAGGCATGCACCACCAACATCAGGCCGATAGTCAAGATTTTTTTGTTTTGTTTTTGCTTTTGCAGAACTGAGAATAGGGTACTGTGCAATCACTTTACACTAAGCCACATTCCCAGGCCAGGGTTTTGTTTTCAATTTTAGGTAAATGAATGCATCCAGGATTATATTCTACCCGTATGCTTTTGCAGAATACAATACTTAAGTTTAAAGAAAAAAAAGTCACAAGAATCCCCCCCACCCCGCCCCACTCCCTGCTTGCGTCCCTCCAGGGCATCCCAAATAGTCTCCAAACCCTTTTAGTTTCAAAGAAACATTTCTCTTACTCATTTTCTTGCATTTTTCCTTTTCAACTTTCTTCTTAATTCTGGTTTTGTTAATTCCTACGTTTATTGGAATATAGACTCCATTTATTTTCAGTCTTTGTAACAATGAAAATATTGATTATAGATTTTCCCAGGTATAGTTTATCAATTTATAAATCTTCATGAAGTTTTAACACAAAGCTCTTCAAACTTCCTAGATACACAATTTTTTTTTGCTGTTTCCTTTGAGTTACAGTTTACATAAAGTGCCCATATCTTAGATGTACAGATTTTCATCCACCAATTCAGATGTGGCACATCCTAGCACACTAAATATCTCCAAAAGAAAACAGAAGTGACCCCTATTTTGACTTTTATCACTGTAAATTACTTTCACTTGTTTTGTTTAGAGACAAGGTCTAAGTGTGTAGCCCTGGCTAGTCTGGAACTCATTATGCAGCTCAGGCTGGTCTTGAATTCACCGAGATCTGCCTGCCTCTGCCTCCTGATACATATTACATTTTAAAATCTTTATTTTGGGAGGATAGCTAATGAACATGGAGCAGAGGACAGCTTGCAATATCAGTTCCCCCTCCCACCAAACAGGTTGTCTGGTTTGGTGACAGGCACCTGTACTCAAATGCCCTGATTGTTGTAGTCAGTGTTTCACTCTGTAGCCTAGTCTAGCCTCAGACTATGTAGCTAAGGCTGGCCTCAAACCTGTAGCCATCCCCCAGCCTCAGACTCCTAAGTGCTGAACTTACAGGTCTGATCTATCCACCACAGTACTTGAGCCTATCTCTGAATGTCATTTCAAAAATAGCATGTACACTTAAGTCTAACACTGGTCAACATTTGGGAAATCATTCTGTATACATTGGCTGATGTCAATATTTATGATCTGTGCTCATTAGTTTTTGTCAGCATGACTCAAACAAGGGTCATCTGAGATGGAAACTTAACTGAAAAAAAATATGCCTCCATCAGATTAGGACATAGGCAAATCTGTGGGTCATTTTCTTGATTCATGATTGATGGGGGAGTAGGCAGTACCAACCCTGGGCAGGTGGTCTTGGATTGTATAAGGAAACAGGCTGAACAAGCTGTGGGGAGAAAGCCAGTGAGCAGCACTCCTCCATGGTCTCTGATTCACTTCTTCTCTGACTTCTGTCATTGGCGTGTGACCTGTGACTTATTCCTTCCCAAGTTGTTTTTGGTTATAGCACAGAAATGGGAAGAAAATTAACACATGAATATATTAATGTTTATCCTCGTGTGTGGTGTGTGTGTGTGTGTGTGTGTGTGTGTGTGTGTGTAGGTTAGAGTTCAATGATGGATTTCTTCTTCCACGCTTCTCCACCTTAGTTTTGAAATAGGGT